CTCCTCCTCCTCCTCCTGCTCCTCCTCCTGCTCCTCCTCCTGCTCCTCCTCCTCCTCCTCCTCCTCCTCCTCCTCCTCCTCCTCATTCTCCTCCTCTCCGACAAATCGTGGGGGGGGTCGGGCGTTGTGCGCTCACAGCTGACCGCCGAGTTTCGGCTTGGAGCCAATTAACGGACGAGGAGGGGGCTGTGCTGCGCGCTGCTGCAGAGGCGGCCTCTGCTCGGGCAAGCGCGGCGGCGCCTCTGCCTGAGCCCGGGCGGCGGCGCGCGGAGCCACGGAGCTTGCCAGCGGCTGCCTCGGCGCTGTGTTTTTTCGGCAGTGCCTGCAGACGAGCGCATTGCATTATACACTCGCAAAGCAGCTGCTCGCAAGTGGCCTGGCTCCGCCGTGGAGGATTCGGATTCCCGACGCGTGACATCCAGACGGACATGATTTCTTGTTTGTCCTGGACGTTTGCGAGAAGTCGGCACTTTGCAAGAGTTGGATCGCGCCAGGTGAACTGGTGCCCACCCTGATCATGGGATGCTGGCTTTCGGGGGTCTCGTAACGACGACGTCGGTCACTACCGACTTTGCTTCACATTCCAATAGCGGTCCGGACCGAGGTGCTTCAGAATCGATCGCGACCGGTCGCGACCGATTTGGGAAAGACCGGTCGCGACCGATTTTGGAAAGATCGGTCGCGACGGGCCGCGACCGGTCGCGATCGGTCGAGACCAACTTGGAAAGCCGAACGGTCGCTAGTGATCGCAGCCGACAGAGCCGGTACCCAGTGAGCTGGGCAGGGCTGTGCTGCTGTGCGTCGACAGGGCGGGCCAGAGACGAGACCCAGGGGGCGGAGGCCTGCCTGGGTCCAGATCCTCCCGGGAGCCCCAGGCTGACCCAGGCTGTGTCACGGGGTGCCACCACCCAGAGGCGTGGCAAAAATGCCGACGGACAGCTCTGTGCCGTTCGGCCCCCGGGGGCCTTCGCAGGGCCCTCGAGACCGTGGCTGAACTGCTCGGGGTCAAATAGCCAAGTCCGTCCTGGGATGGGTCGAGGCCTCCAGAGGCCTACGGCGTCAACAACTAACTCAGGACGTCGGGGGTCTGGGAAGGAGGGCTGGTTCCACCTCGTCCAAGGAATGGGACCCCCCAGGGCCCCCCAACAACCCCCCGGGAACCTTCAGCAAAAATGCCTCTCAAAGACCTCCTGGACCCTCGGTCCTCGATCCTCAGGAGGACATGGCGACCCCCTCATGGTGAGCTTCCTTAGCATTGATCCACAGCATGGCGGTCTGGGCTCCCAAGCATGCAAGGCGGCCGTATGCGAATGCCCCCCCGTGTGGAGCGCATCCACAGGATGGCGTGCGCGTGGGATTGCACCCGCACTGCAGCCGCTGCCCTGGCCCCTGGGTGTGGCGTCCCGTGCCCGCTGCCAAGGGTGCTGCACATGCTTGGCCGCCACGAGCGCCCCGCTGCGGTCCCCGCTCCGTGAGCGCGCTAGTATCCCCTCCCTTCCTCCCTTCCTCCCTGCAGCCCGTCTTTTCCCTCATTTTCCTCTTGCATCCGGGCAATTCGCAATGACGTCTCCCGGCTTGCTGCGCGCGCGCGTGCGGACCGCCTCCGACGCGCTGCGACGGAAACGTCCGCGTGATCGCTCGCGTGTCCAGGCCGCGAAATATGGACACGGACGTGCTCCCAGAGATCCGAGGTCGCGAGTTTTGGGGAGATCAGAAAGTACCGATGCCGCCACTCCCTGGACCTCTTCCGGGGTGCCTTCTGACAAGAATTTCGAAGCGAATCCAGCGGTGGCGACGAGGGCCTCCGAGGCCCAAAAAGAGGAAAAACGAGCGAAGGGTGGAGGTATGGGTACCCTTTTGCTCCTCCGAAGAATGGCAGCGCGCAGGGCCTCCCGATTTGGACGCCCGAAATGGGCACAGAAACAATGGGCACAATGCCCAACAGCAAATGTTGCCCCGAACCAACAGCGGCCGCTGTTTGGGCAGGCGGCCCTCTGTCTCACATGGACACGGGCCGCGGCGGCGTGGACAGCGAGTCCTGCTCAAAATGAACCAGATCCGCTGTTGGGCATCGCACCCCTTCTCTCCCTGCCCACCTCGTTCGCGCAGAGGCCCGACCCTTCGACGACCTGCCCGGGCGAACACCGGCCCGGGCCCGCCGCGCCCCGGTGCACCTGCCTGCCGACGGACGGCGAGGGCAGGCGGCAGCAGCAGCAGCGCCGTGCACCACGGTCGAGGCGCTGCCACGAGGGGCCCCGGTTGCAGAACTCAAGGCCCCCTTCCTCCACGAGTTTCGTGTGCGTTCCATTTCGGCTACACGCAGGAGTGACCCAGGGTAAGGGTGACCTTTGGTGCGCGGTGTTTTGGGGGCCGCGGGGGGACCAAACCAGGGCGCGCAAGCCGCTGCTCCTGCTTCGTTTTCAGCCATCTGGGGACCCAATTGTGCCCGCATCAAAGGTCACTCCGGCGAAAGGTCACTTTTACGTCTAGTCGATCCATGGAAGCCTGCGTGGCCCCCGGCACTGTCCCATTCGGGCCTGCTTCGAGCCGCATGTGGAACAACCCTGGACCGGAGTTGGACCGGGTCTGGACCGCATGCGCGGGGACTGGGAGAAGGAGGAGCGGAGGGGGAACGGGAGGGGAGAGGAGGAGCAGGAGGATGGGCCCAATGTGGTCCTCACGCGGTCCAAATGCAGGAGAAGCTGATTTCATCGAACATGAGTTCAACTTCGATTTCCCAAAGACCACCCAAGGCAAACCCAGGGACAACCGTAGAACAGCGCAGGATACCTGAGCCCCTCCCCAACCCAAAAGGGTTCTTTCTTCGGCGGCCCGACCGTATGCGCGGCGGGGGCTGATCCACAACCACCACCTGCAGAGGCCCAGCCTGCCGAGATCCTCACAGATCGACCCTGGAGGCGGTGGCTGTGCATCGGTCCCAGTCTCGGACCAGAACCTCGATGTGCTCTTTCGCCCAGACGTCTGGACCGCTTCCGCTCTGGTAGTCTGTCGACCCGGATCAATGTTTGACGTTCCTAGAAATAGAAAACACGACATAAACATAAACTTGTGGCGCTCCGCGCGAATTCATTGAATCCGAGCTGGGCCACCCCGGCGGCACCTCCGGCGTCGCCCCTGGCGCGCTCCGCGCGCCAGGGAGGAGAGTCCAGCGCAGATCCAAGACATCCGCCCGAAGCGCCGCAAATGTATGTTTATGCTGTTGCTTCTTCTTTCAGTTCCCTGGGCCCAGCAATGAGCCCTAAAGGACGAACATAGAAAATAATAGGGCAGAAGCATAAGCAGCGACTTCCGGAGCTCCGCGCGGATCTCTGGCGCGCGGAGCGTGCCAGCGGCAGCGCCAGGGGGGCCCAGCGCCGATTCCAAGAGATCCACGCGCACCGTTGACAATTTATGTTTTCGCCATTTTCTCTTCGTCGTCGAGGTACAGTCATCGTGCTACCATACGGAACGCTGAATGAAGCATGAAGCAACTTTTCTGGCAATGGCGAGCCTTGGCTACGAATATGTTCCTGGCCCATATCTCAGGGCTGGACCGAAATCCATAGACCCTCCTGTGCCCGAAGTGGTCCTTAGTCCAACGTCCTGAGTGAACTGGGCACCAGGGGCCGAACACGGACACCACCACTGCGTGGGTAAGGAACAGGTCCGCAGCCCCAGATGCGGACAAGATTTGCATCAACATCCACTGCGCCTTGGAATTTCGGGCCCACTTTCCCAGACACCCGAGGCCCAGTGGATATGCATACAGATCTGGCCCCTAGAGGCCAGACTGTGGTCCGCATCCACATCCACACCCACTGTGATCCCAGGAAGTCCAAGACGCAGTTGGGTATGGAAGCAAGATCCTGCCCCGCGCCAAAGGCCGAGCCGAACACGGACACCACCACCACGCGGGCAAGGCGCAAGCCCGCAGCTCACCGCGGGCGCCCGCGCCACGGCCCCCCCCCCGACCCAAACCGAGCAGTGCGGCGCGGCTCCGCGGTGCGGCAGCGCTGCGGGGCGAGGGAGAGGCGGACATCTGCGCCGCGGAGGGGGGGCAGGTTCGGTGGCAGCTCATGGAGGCCTCCTGCACCCTCTTGCAGGCTCCTGCGAGCCGACGCTCGTCGACGCTAAATCGACGCTACGTCGACGCAAATTCGGCGCTATCTCATCGAGTACCAGACGTTAGCCGACGCCAGTGCACTCCAGAAACAGAGTTGCGGAGGTGTGCGAGGTTCCCTTGGCTTGCCACCGAAAGCGGAGATGAGCGTGCCGGGCTCCAACACCCAGACCTCCAGCCCTCGAGATACGAGCGCACAGAGAGCGGCGTAAGCATATAGCCTTTCGGAAGTCCGTGCGGATTCCTTGGGCCCGCGCTGGACCCCCGGCGCCGCCCCTGGAGAGCTCCGCGCGCCAGGGACGGGAGACCAGCGACGATCCGAGAAATCCGTGCGGAGCTCCAACAAATTTCCTGGTCATGCAATGCTTTGGTCAGTCAGGCTGCAAGCATGAGGATCGCTAAAATAACCGAGCATGAGGATCGCTAAAATAACCGAACACCCCTGGGAATAACCCCTTGGGGATGATCAAGTTCGGGATTCCCAGGGGCAGATGGAATGTTTCCTGGCGAGTCGCAGCGCAAAGACTCCTTGGGAGTGTACGGACGTGCGGAACGCCACACATATGTCGGAGTGCACGCATGTACGTTGTAGGGATGAACAAATAACTTCGCGAGCCCACACGGGGGCACCCTCACCACCCGCGCTTGGGCGGGGCTTCCCTGGAGGGGTGGGAGGAGCACGACACCTGAGACTTAA